CAGACCGATACACCAAACTTCGCGGACCTCTGTGCCCCTCGAAAAACCTTTGGGTCTCGCCTTGAAAAGTAGGTGACGTGACCGGCTCCTCCTCGACCTCCTCGTCCTGCTCTCTCCGGCTGCACTCGCATCTATATACTATACGAAGCCCTGAGCGTCAGGGTCCCGGATGTGTGTGTGTCCAGGCCAGACGCCAAGGGCAACCAGTGGCATCTGGATGAGAGTCCCAGTTGCCGCAATCTAGGGTGGCCTGGGTCTTGCGTGGCCAGCTCCCGTCTGCTCCTCCTCCTCCTCCTCCTCCTCCTCCTCCTCCTCCTCCCCCGGGGCCCAGTTCCCCAAGGTGGATGCAGCCAAGGCCCCACGCTGCAAGGCACAGATCTTGGACCCTCGCCAAGGCCTGCTCCCAGACCCCCGACGCCGTGATTCTTTCACGACGCAAATAGATAGGGTCCAAGTAGATGGGGTCGGAGGAGTCACTGGATCGCCGATATCGTCGATGCACCGGCGATGCATCGTCGATGCATCGGCGACGTCGGCGTGGGGAAACTCGGGCTCCACATCGAGCCGCATCGCCGATGCATCGGCGAGGAGGGGCGATACTTCGACCCCATCTGCTCCGACCCCATCTAGGAGGCCTAGAGCAAACCCCCAGGAGGTCTCGACCCCCTCCCCGGGACCGGATTGTCGTTCCGAGTCGGTTTGTTGTTGTGGCCTGGGGGGGCCTGAAGAGGGTCCCCGATGCCGAACAAAAGGCCTCCCGTCGATTTTTTTGCGACACGAGCATGTCTTGGTTCCTCTCCCATATACAGTCGGCCCGTACCATGAAGATGCGGCCGACGGGTCTTGGAGGGCCATGATGACATTCTTCGAGCGAGGATGGGCCGACGGGGCAGGGAGGCAAGGGTACCACTGGGAAGCCTGCCCATCCTTAACATGTGGGTTGACTGTACGCCTTGTCGAAGAAAGGTGGGGGAGGGGAAAGAGGAGGAGGAGGAGGAGGAGGAGGAGGAGGAGGAGGAGGAGGAGGAGGAGGGAGAAGAAGGGAGGAGGAGGGGACGGAGGACGAGGAAGCGGAGGGGGAGCGAAGGGGGAAAAAGGAGCAAGAGCAGCGCGGGAGGAGCGGGCCAGGAGAACGAGGGGGGAGCAGAATCTGGCAAGGAGGAGGAGCAGGAGGAAGAGCTGAAGGCAGGGGGGGGGAGGCGGAACGCGAGCAGGAAGAGGAGGAGTGGGAAGGAGGGGTGGAGGAGGAGGACGATGGCGGAAAGGCCGATGGGGAAGGGCGGCAGGTGATTCGGCGGCGGCAGGGCGGATGGAAGAGACCGGGTCGTGCCGATGCCGTCGACGCGGTTGGCCACCACGCGGGCCCACAAGCCAGTACTCCTGCATCGCGCGCACGCATGTGAACTTCGCGTGTTGTCGTCCTCGTCGTCTTCCTCCTCCTCCTCCTCCACCTCCTCCTTCCGCTTGCTCCACTTCCTCCTCCCTCTGCTCAAAACGAAGCCAGGATGAGGACAACATCGGGTTGGAGGACACATCGGATTGGAAACATCGGGAATCTCTGAGAACTGGCGGGTTCTGGAGGGTGTACCCGGAACCACTGCCCTTTTGCAACGCTCCAGAATCCTCCAGAGTGATCCGTCATCCTAAGCGTGCCTGGCTGGTGCCGAGGAGGAGGAGGAGGAGGAAGAGGAGGAGGAGCCCCCCTCCCGGCGCCTCTTCTTTTGCGCACGGGACGCGCACGGGTGGGGTGCGAGGACGGGGGTGGTGGTCTTGGTCGGGGGAAACCGGCTAGTGCCCAAGGGGGGGGGGCTCGGGGCCCCCCAAAACGGGGTGCGGTGACAGAATGTTCTGACAGACTTTGCGGTGACCTCGGGATCCCCACAAACCTCCCTGCACTGTCCACCACCGCAAACGTTCTGGGACCGTCAACTGATAAGCGATGAAAGTGTCCCCTAACCATTTGGGAGGGGGCCCAGATCAGGAGGGCCGCAGACATTGGGGATACGGGGCCTGCGCTGCAGGTGGAGCAGACGCAACCGTCTGGATAGAGTATCCCGAGTGCGAGGACGGGGACCCAAACGAGGCCCCGCTTTCATGGTGTCATGAGGGTTCGGGGACGTCTTTTGGACGCGTGAAGAGCGACCTACGCCCCCCACATGAGGACCTTTAGACCAAGTCGACGGCAGTGGCCTCGCTTACGGGGCGCCTACACTGACGCGCATTCGCCAGAAGTGCAAAATGTTGACGTCCAAAATCAAGAGTTGTGGGGGCTGGGGTCTGTTTCCCACTATTCGTCTTTTGCTCTCGATGATCCGTGCCCGAATTGCCCGAGGCACCCTGGGAGAACGACCCGAGCCCCCAACAAAACCGTGCGCCCACCTCGGATCCCCCCCGACGCCCCGCACATCGGGAGCGGCCAAAAGGGTGTCCACGGGGGGGGGGGTGCAAATCATGGCCGGCGGCATGTGCGCGGCCCAGCGGGGGGGGCCAGGGACGCAATGCAAGAAGAAGAGGCGCCATGGAATCTGAGGGAAAAATCATGGCCCACGCCATGAAATCCCCCCCTCCCCCCCCCTAGCCATTAGCCATCACCCCCCTCTTTGCCGCCCCCGAGCACGGCGTGGCCGCCGCGCCCCTCTCGGGGGGGGGGGGCCGGGGCCCGCAGGGCCTCGGCCCCGAGGGGCGGCGCGCCCTGGAGGCCTCGTGCGGAAGCTGGCGTGAGCACGCCCGCGGGGAGAGAGAGGTCGGCGGCGCGCGAGGGGGATCAGCCAGCAGTAGAGGAAAAAGGACTATGCACGTACACCGATTCTGGTCAGGCCCATCCTGAGCCCAGGATCGGTGCATACGCCCTCCTACCTTGGCCAGGAAGACAGATGTACCGATCCTGGGTCAAGGATGGGCCTTGCCAGGATCGGTGCATGTGCATGGTTCTCTTCGCCCGAAGCAAGGGCGGGCCTTGTCGGCAGGCTCGAAAGGCCCCGGCCTTCCGCAGAGAAGTCTGCGGAGCCTTCCCCCGGGAGGCACGGGAGGTCCCTGAGAGGGCGCGACGGTTTCTGAGACGTCCCGCCGCCCGGAGGGCCTTCGTTCTCTCACTTCCCCACTCGCTGGCCGCCGAGAGAAGGAGAGAAAGAGAGAGAGAGAGAGAGAAAAAAAAAAAGGCCGACGTACGGTCGGGAGCTGTTGCTTTGCGCGCTGCGGCGGCGGCCATCTGAAGATCTTCCATGCAGGGGCCCGCATAGACAGGGTCGGATGAAAATATCGCGCCAGCATCGCCAATGCATCGGCGATGCAACGGCGACGTCGGCGATGCATCGGCGACGCCGGCGTGGAGACAATCGGGCTTCACACCGACTCGCATCGCCGATGCATCGGCGATGCGACGCGATCTTCAGACCCCGCACGCTCCAGCCCCATTTGAGATGCCTGGCCTTTCTTGAGCAAAGACCGGCCGCCCCGGCATTCCTATAGGCCTACCACGACATGTTCTTCGAACCCGGATATGTTCTAAGAACATAAACAATGTTCTTTGAACGTGCACCCGACGTGTTAAAACAGGACAGTCCCAGCCAGAAATGTTGTAAGAACATTTCGTGCAAAACACCAACAGGTTCTTATAACATTGTTTGGTCGGGCTGTAGGCGAGCCAAGACGCTTCGCCACTGCTTGAATTTTAGATGCCTGGCCTTTCCGGTTCGAGATCGACCTGCATCGGATCGGAACATGAGATCGAATCGGCACGCGCGTCGGCTCGGGCCGCGCACCGGCACGGAGCTGGCACCGCCTCGGCAGGCGCCAGGACAGGACGCACAACAACGCCGGACGAATTTCGCGCCGCATCGCTCCGCCTGCATATTTTTGGACGCCCGAAACGGGTACGGAAAGAATGGGCACAATGCCCAACAACAAATGCTGTCCCAGACCAACAGCAGCCGCTGTTGGGCAGGCGGCCTTCTGTCTCAAATGGGCACAAGCCGCGGCGGCGCGGACAGCGAGTCGTGTTCAAAATGAACAGGACCTGCTGCTGGGCATCGTACCCATTCTTTCCGTACCCATTCCGATCGCCCCGAATATCGGAATTACCTCAGAAAAGGGCCGGCCGAGTTCGACGTCGAACCGGCTGGCGGCGCGCACAAGGGCGTAAAGGGATGGGGGGAACCTTCTTGGCCAGAGGCTGCCTCTCAGAAGGCGCCAGCTTCTTATCTACGGACAAGGCCCGCGCCTTGTAAGAAGCAGCGGTGTTTCCAAGAAACCCTTCCTCTTCCCCGATTTCAGGTCCGGCAAAAATATTCAAAACATTGAATCTAATCGAGAAATCTGCCCCGCACTATTCCTTCACTATTTTTGATGATTTCTCCAAGGACATGCCCGACTTAACCCAATCCCCGTCTGCGCGCGAGTGCCATGGACTGCACCCACCTGGCGCTGTCGCAATAGCCTTCGAAGCCTTCGAGGCCTTTAGTAGCCTTCGAAGCCTTCTGTGTGTTTCTTTCCCTCCTGAAAAGAGGGGGGCGTCAAAGAGGGAGGGGCGCAAATCATGGCCGGCGGCATGTGCGCGGCCCAGGTTGGGGGCCAGGGACGTATTGAAACAAGAAGAGGCGCCATGAAATCTGGGGAGATATCATGGCCCACGCCATGGTATCCCGCCCCTCCTTAGTCATCACCCCCCTCTTTGCCGCCCCCGAAGATCAGCCAGCGCGAGCCGCAGGGGCCGACAGCCGGGAGCTGCAAGCCCAGACCCCCCCGCGCTCTTGCTGAAAAAACTCGCCACTGGAGAGGTTTCGCTATGTTCGGCCCTCCCGGGGCCCTTCCCGGGCCTCGGGACCGTCAAAAAACGACTCAGGACGTCGCGAGAGAATCACAACGTCGGGGGTATGGGAGACGATCCAATCCAAGAGGGTCCGTCTTGCACGGAGGGGGAGGGTGCCGATGCCACCTGCCTCTCCGAGCTCGGAAGGCTCGAGCAGGGCCGAAGGCACGAGACCGACGAGGTGCAGCGGAGCCTGCTGGCAGTCTCCCGGACGGGGCAGCGGCAGGTCCTCTGCTGAAGTCTCATAATGGGCACCGTTGCCGACTGCGCGATCTCCAGTCTGCTGATCTCCTTGGTCTGCAAGAGCCTCGGGAAGGTGGGGGGGGCGAAGGAGGAGGCCAAGGGAGGGAGAATCCAGCTGGCGAGCCTGGCAAAAGAGCACTCGCGCACTCTGGCCGGAGCACTCGCAGAGCCTTCTTACGCGGCCCCAAGCACCAGAGTATGAGGCACGCAACTAGGAGAACGCCGCGCACTACAGCCAACCCGTATAAGAAGGATGCGCGATAAGGATGCAAGGGCCTGGGAAGGCCATGTCGACCCTTCGCGAGCGGGGCGCAGCCAGCGAAAGTGGCCAAGGATGGGCAGAAGGGGAAGGATGCAAGGGCAACATTGGGAAAAAAACGCTAATGCGAGTTGACTATATACAAGGTGCGGTGGTGCACTGGTGCGCACTTGCGTGTGTGCGCGTGGTGATGTGTGTTTCTGCTTTTCGCTCCCGTGCCTGCTCGCCCCGTCCTGCCCAGAACTCAAAGTTGCACCAAGTGGCTCGAGCGTAGTGAACAGATCAACGACTGCAACTCGACCGACTCATCCCGTATGTTTCCGCCCAGCCAGTGGATTGTCGCCGCAGTGGAGGGACAGGTACACACGCCGTGCGCGCAAGCAATTCTCGACGTCACTCCAGGCGACGCCGACATCGTCCATCGGAAAGGGTGCGTGGGAGGGGGTGGGGAATCGAGAGGAGGACATCAGTCCTCCGCCCAGAGACTGCAAGGCCTATTCTTCAGACTACGATGCCTTTAGCAATGCATACAGCCAAACAGCTGCGCCTGTGACGATCGAACACACATCACTGCTGTCGGTGGATGAGAATGCTGCGAGATCAACGGGCATCGGCGAAGGATACACGGAACCGTATCCATCTACTTGTCATCGTAACTATCCTGCTTCGACTTCGCGGTAGATGTGGAATTAGGTCAGGCATGTTCGCCTAGGATTCTCAAGGATAAAATCGAAAGTAGTCAAGAAATCGACCCCTGACTATTTCCCTACCTAGGCTCTGCCTGGAAGGGTTCTTACTCTCTTAGCTTAAAGGGGCTGGGCAGTGTAACACGCCCCGGGCGGTTCCCCCAGTCCCCGCCCCGCGGTTCCCCCCAGTCCCCTGGGAGCTTTAGCTTTAGCTTTAGCTTTAGCTTTAGCTTAGCTTTAGCTTAGCTTTAGCTTAGCGTTTCGCTTAGCTTTTCGCTTAGCGTTTAGCTTAGCTTTAGCTTAGCTTTAGTTTAGCTTGAGCTTAGCTGTAGCTTAGCTTGAGCTTAGCTGTAGCTTAGCTTTAGCTTAGCTTCAGCTTAGCTTTAGCTTAGCTTTAGCTTAGCTTTAGCTTAGCTTCAGCTTAGCTTTAGCTTAGCTGTAGCTTAGCTTTAACTTAGCTGTTGCTCAGCTTTAGCTTAGTTTTAGCTTAGCTTTAGCTTAGCTTTAGCTTAGCTTTAGCTTAGCGTTACTGTTACTACTAATGCTGCTTTCTTAGGGGTTCCAACTCCTAGGTAGGGTCGCACTGGGATAATTGTTGACTATTGTGAATACTCCTCGTGTTGAGGAACATGCCCGATTTGAATGTGGTACTGTACGTAAGACATGGCCGCTCACTTTCACTTACACGGGCACCGCCCTCGGGAGTGGGTGCGGATAAAGGCGGGCGCATGGATCGTGAAAGGGACAGGGCAGAGAAAACCACAGTCTGTGGCGACTGTGGGGAGGAAGCGATGAGCAGGGGAGAAAAAGGAGGGAGAAGGTTACAGCGGAGAGCGAGACATAGAGAGAGGGAAGAAAGGGAACACACATTGAGGGGGGAGGACGAGGAGGATGACGAAGATATAATAAGAAACAACGGCATCAATACAAAATGTTGGCGCTCCGCGCGGATTCCTTGGATATGCGCTGGACACCCTTCCATGGCAGAGCGCGACAGGGGCGGCGCCGGAGGCGCCGTCGGACGATGTCTGTGGCGTCGTTTCTTCTTTGAGAAGAGAACGAGGACGAGGAGGGGACGAGGTGGCGGGAAGAGAGCACGCATGGTGGTCAGACGTACGATTAGGTCGGCCATGTCCTCCTACAGGCGGATTTTGTACCAAGGAAATCAGAAGAGACAACAACAATCAAAGATAGTCAAACAATAATCGAAAAATGTCCCCCACATTGTTCCTGACGAGTCTTGAGCATTCCTCCTGTAGAGCGACATGCCCGACTTAGAACGAACGTCTTTTTTGCCACTCAGCCGCTCCCGCCCCCGTCAGCCAGGGCTCCCGCGTGTTTGTTCACGGGGGATTACCGCGGTGCACACATGCACGGGAGCGGGCTCGGAGCCGAGCGGAGGGCCCCAGAGGGAGGAGAGAGAAAAGTCAAAGAAGAAGCATGGTCATAAACATGCAGCATGGAAAATAATCCAACCCTGAGACCCGAGGACCTTCATGTATTCTTCGGTGTGGGAACGCCGCGCTCTCCACAGCAAAACCCTCGAAACCCTCGAATCCCAGGGTACCCTGGAGGCAAGCAGGGTGTTTCTTGGCATGGGTCTCCGCTGTACGGTCAGGAACTTGTGCGTCGAATGTCGCGGCGGCGGCCACAGCGACTGGGAAGGTTCGGGACGCTGACGCCTAGGAGCCTGGACGCGGACAGCGTGTCGCACCGAAGCGTGGTGGTTCAGAACCGGTGGAGTAACACGCCCCCCCAAAAAAACCGACCGTTCACGCTCGCAGTTCCGCGCGGATTTCTTGGGTAAATCCTGGAAAGCCCTCATGTCTGTGCAGGTCTTTCTTGCTCGAGGGAGGAGGGGAGAGGGACGGAGTGCGCGAGGCAGAAAATGGCCTGTGAACCTCCTTCGCGGTGGTGGCAGTCCAAGCTGAAGCAGCTTCAGCGGGCAAAGGGTCGCTTTGTTCGCTCTGAAGCGGCTCCAGCAGGTCAGAATCACCAAACATCGCTCGTTTGTGTGATTGAGAAACGCATGCTTCAGGAGGTCTGACGGATCACAAACCTGGATGTCTCGCCTGCGATCACAGACCGCGGCGTTGCTCCCAAGCCCTCAAGCATCTCCGACATGGACCTCTGCCGCATCACCCTCGACTTGAACTGGTCGAAGACGTGGCTGGAGCGCCACCAAAAGCCCAGCGCGAAGAGGACGAGCAGCGCGCACCCGCAAACGCAGGCCACGTCGGCCCGCTGCACCGCGTCGAAGTGCTCGCACAGGTGCTCCGAGCAGGGCACGCCATGCCCGCCGAGGGGCTCGAAGACGGACTGGAGCGCGGAGGGCCTCGGCTGCCCCTCGGGGAACTGCGCGAGGCACACCCTGGCGACCGCGGCGGTGGTGGGCAGGCACGGGTCCGTGCCCTCCCGCCTGCCGGTGCCGGCCATGTCCTCCTCGCACGCCTGCACCATCGTGGCCACGTCGTGGTTGCTGATGGGGAAGGTCTTGTTGAGCAGCGATGCCATCGCGAGCCAGCGGTATCGCCGGCTGCACGCGTACACGTAGCCCCGCAGTGAGAAGTACACGACCACGGCCACGCCGGCCGCAACGTTGCAGAGGCTGGACGTCGCAATGACGCGCTCCCTGCATCTCCGTATGCCCTCGACGTCCTCCTCCAACGGCTCCTGCATGGGGTTGCCGTTCGGGTCCAGGAGACCGTGGTCTTGCTTGAACTTCGAAATGGGATCGTCTTGATACGTGCCAGTGCGCAGGGCTGTCCGCACCACTGACGGACTGTGATGGAAGTGGTCCAGATCCCGGACCTCCCTAGGCTCGTCGAACTCTAAGTAGATCCACGGTGTCGTGGCAACATGCTCGCTGTCTTCCACCTTCATCTCCAAGCGCTTGGTCCTTCCCTCGGGATCGGAGTGGGACCATTCTACCACGTCGCAAGCCCTCAAACGCAACGAACAAACTTTGGTTGAGCCCAACACGCCGAGCTCCCGGACAGTGATCCGCACATGCTGCTCGAGGTGGGACCACCGCAGGTGCAGCGTGACTACTTCTGGGAAGTGCACAACCTTCGGCTGCTTCGCGTATGCCAGCGACGAATTGATCGGCGGGTTGGCATCGCTCTCGACCTGCAGGAAGAAATCTCCGGGGCCAGGCCACGGCAGGTCACCGACTACAACGTTCTTCAACTCCACAGTGTAGTGCGTGAAGCCTAAATATCTCCCGACCACCTGGACCAAATTCTGACCGCGTACCCTCTTGGGGCACACCCAACTCCTGGACAAACACCGCGTCCAATCGCCATTGCACGTTCCGCAACATCGGAACGAGAACCACCACACGAAATCCAAACACGTGCCGTGTATCCTGTCGTCGCCGGTGATGACCAGGAGGATGCGGTCCCTGTACCTCCAGGCCACGAGCAACAGAACGGTTAAGACAGCAAGAATGACGGCAGGGAAACAAACCACGGCATAGACATAAACCTTTGGAGGTCCGCGCGGATGTCTTGGACCGGCGCTGGACCCCCGCCCCCCCCCCTGGGACGCGAGGCGCGCAAGGGGAGGCGCCGCTGGGGGGGGGGTCTGCTCCAACGCCGAGCCCAGGAATCCGAGCGGACCCCCGAAAATTCGTAGTCATGCCGTTTTTTTGGCTCCCCGAGATGATATCCTGAATGCCGCGCACCGGGTCGGATGCGGGGGAACCAGAGCTGGCGGCGCGCACACGGCTAAGTAGGGGGGGAGGCTTCTCAGAAGCAGGGGGGGCTTCTATCAAGAAGCCTCCCTCCCTCGCCCGACCCCCCTCTGCGCGTGGCCGACGCAGCGCGGCAAAGACACGCAAACGCTCAGAGGCCCTCGCAGGTCTTCTGAGGCCGGCGCCTGGCCCCTCTCCCTGCACGCCGGGCGCGCCCCGCAGGGGGCGCGAGGGGGTGTCCCTGGGGGGCAACGATCGGGGGGGGACCGGCACAGGGGGGGATGCATCGACCTGGAATCGGCGATACATCGCCGATGGATCGCTTGGGGGGTCGATGCTTCCCCCCCTGTGCCGGTCCCCCCCTATCGTTGCCCCGGAGTCCAGGGGGGGCGGTCAGAGCGCCTACCCGAGGGTCCCCGACGAAC